TGGACCAGGGGTATTAATTCAGATTCAGACTGTCGAGGGAAAACAGGGGACACAAATAATCATCCAAGCGTTTCTTGAAGAGTTGCAGGGATGAAGCCTCCACGACTGACTGAGGGAGATCGTTCCATTTCTCCACTACCCTCTGCGTGAAAAATTCAGAACGGAGATTCAGCCTGGACATTGTTGTCCGTAACTTCATCGAGTGACCACGAAGATTGGGTGAAAGGTGCCACTGAAACATGTCCTCAAATTTAAGTCCATACTCAAGGCCATGTTTTATCTTGTAGACGAGGATAAGATCACCTCTTTGCTGCCTGTAACACAGAGGGAATAAATTAAGGCAATTCAGTCTGTCCGTGTAGGATTGGCTTTTTAGACCGTTTACCAGCTTTGTTGCACGCCGTTGTACCCGTTCGAGGCATTCTTGGTTCTTTACCAGCCATGGCCGCCATGCTTGTATGCCATATTCTAAGTGGGGCCGAACAAATGTGCCGTAAACTCTCCCAAAAGGTCTTGGTCAAAATTTATGAAAGCCCTTTTTATTGCATGCAGCACTCCCATGGCGTTTTTTGCAGCCTTGTGGCACTGCAGTGTTGGTTTCAGGTTGTTCTGTATCCAAACCCCGAGATCCTTCTGTGAAGATTCTGCAGGGAGCCTTATATCTTTCAGGTGATAAGTCCTCAGACTCTCATTTGAATGAGAGTTGGTTGGACGCAGATGTAGGACGGCACACTTCTCCACATTGAAATATAGAAGCCATTTCTTCGACCACGCTTGCAGTCGGTGCAGATTATCTTGAAGGGATCTCTGACCATTCAGACCCTTAATGACTTGCCAGAGCTTAACGTCGTCTGCAAACATTATTTTGTCGCAGTCGAGTTCCTGAAGGCTGTCGTTAACGCGAAGGATGAAGAGCAATGGTCCCAGAACTGAGCCTTGCGGCACACCACTGGTCACATTCACCCATTCTGACATATCATCCCCGATACAGACACGTTGTTTCCGACCAACCAGGAACGCCCTAATCCAGTTCAGAAGATCTCCCCGGATGCCGATGTCGCTCAATTTGTGAAGAAGACGTTGGTGTGGGACAGTGTCAAAAGCTTTGCGGAAATCGATGTACACGACATCGACCTCAAAACCCTCTTCTAGAGCCCTGGTCCAGATCTCCAGACAAGCTAGCAGATTTGAGAGGCAGGAACGTCCTCTTCGGAAGCCATGTTGAAAATCCTGTAAGATGTTATTTTCTTCACAAAATTGCTGTATAGCGTTCTTTACTATAGCTTCCATCGTTTTGCAAGGGAGGCAAGTTAAGCTAATAGGTCGAAAGCTGTTTGCTGTCATCCTGCTACCTCCCTTATGCAATGGAACGAGGTTAGCTGTCTTCCACTGTGAGGGCAGCCTTCCTGTTCTCATTGACAGCTCAAAGGGAGTAGAAAGAGGCTTTGACAGCTCCCTTGAAAGCTCCTTAAGTATCAGCCCGGGAATTCCGTCGGGTCCAGGCGACTTATCAGGTTTTATTTGACTGAGCACTCGTCTGACTTCTTCCACGGAAAAGGCGACGGTTTTAATGACGACAATATCTTGGCGCATTTGAAGCTCCCGGCTGTCTCGGTCCATTTCAAACTGCTGATTGTCTTCTAAGGACTTCTCCGTAAAAACCGATTGAAAAAACTGAGACAGTAATCGCACTTTCTGTGACCCTTCAACTAATAAGTTTCCGAGGCTATCCTTTAGACACGCAATTTCGTCCCTATGTTTCCTCCTACTGCGGATGTACCCGTAAAACTTCTTGGGACATGTAATGGATTCTGCTATCAGTCGACGCTCGAAAGAACTTCTAGCAACCCGTATTTTTTTGCTGCATTTATTGCGCTGATCCTTATATTCGGCGAGTGACCTTGGATCTCGAAGTTGCAAATACTTTTTCCCGAGTCTCTGTTTCTTCTTCATGGTCTTTTTTGTCGTCGGATTGACCCACGGCGGTCGCATACATGGTCTTGTCATTTTTATTGGACAATGGGAATCAATCAGACGCTCTATAATCCCGCGAAAGCACTGCCAAAATTCGTCTGAATCTTCTGTGTTGACCAACCAGGTTTCCTGCAAAAGAGTGCGTCTCATTGCGTCAAAGTCACCCTTCCAAATATTTCTGCGCGTCTTGATTTTTGGTTGTTGGTTGAATAGGAGAGAGCACACGCAGGTAAAAGCAATATGATCACTTAAACCGAGTGGAGGTTGTGGATTCACTTCCTTTATGAGTCCTTCTTCTTTACTGAAAACGAGATCTTAACAGTTAGATCGTTGTCCTTCTCTCATTCTTGTTCCGAATTTTATGTGCTGAATGAGGTATTCATTCAGGGAGAGTTGTAGTAGCTTGTGGTCAAATGACGTGGACGAGGTATTTGTTAGTGGAATGTTCCAGTCTTTTCCTGGAGCGTTGAAGTCACCCAGAAGTTGTAAGTTCTCCTGCTTACATATCAACTCCAGTGCACTAAGTAATTCCATATCGGCGATTTCATTCGAGCTGGGAGGCCGATAGACAACACACAGGTTCAGTGTCGGTAATTGTTTGATGCATATCTTGCATGAAATTATTTCAAAATTTCGGGGCGCACCATCGGATATTTCTCGTTGACAGCACGCAATTTCATTTGACACATAAATAGCTGTGTCTCCACCTCTACGGTGAAATCTATCACAACGGAACAGTTGGTAGCCTTACATTCTGACTTCGCTACTACTAATTTCCTCAGTCAACCATGTCTCTGTTAGGACAATTATGTGTGGCTTCTGTTCAGAGACTAGTAATCTGAGTTCATCTAGCTCGTTGAGAAGACTCTGACAGTTAGTGTAATAGATTTCTAGACAGCGGCCACTGGTTCGAGCAGCCTCAGGAGTTGGCACGTTTGCATCGGTTAGGCTGTCATAATGACGGCCTTCGGCTAGAGAAATGTCCTTTGGACCTGAATTATTTGTCCATTCTTGATTTGTAGGTGTGTTTCGCCGCTGTTTCTCCGCTTTTCCAGCTCCGTCATCAGCTCTCTCATTTTCATTCGCTCTTTTGGTTCGTAATCCGGCTGAAAAAAACTTCAGGATGCTGACCCCGTAGAGATGATTTTCTCTGTAACAGAAGCTGGGCCTGTGCTTCAGTCTTCAAAATGACTTTTAGGGGTCGAGGCCGGGAATTGGAACCGGATGCTGACTGACTCTTCCCTATTCGGGATGCCTTGAGAACACTTAGGACTCATCGTCTCTTAACAAAGTTTTCGCATACACTTGAAGAAGGTCTAAGTCATGCTTAACGCTCTCCTTTGGAACTGCTGCCGTTGATTCGGGTACTCCTTTTATAACTACATTTTGCTGGCGACTGAACCTAGTGCTCGTTGTTGTCACACATCTTTTGAGTGACTGAGCGTTCACCTCCAGTTTACTAGTTTCGCTGGTTTCGGATGAACTAGCTATTGGGCTAACGAAACTGAGATCCGTGTACGATTCATTTATCTTCCTGTTGATAACCCTTCCTTCTGTGTTTCCGAGGTGTTCGTCGAAAAAGTTTACCTCAGTTTCTTTCGAAACCTCCTCCTGAATATTCGGTCCACAAGATGTTCCGATATCTTTATTGTTTAACATATTTGGAAGCCTCTGGCGGTCCTTCGTAGGCCTCCTGGTCGTTCTCCTTCGCTGGTCTGCGTGTACGTAGGCGGCCTTCGTTTTTTTGGACCGTACAGAGGGGCGCGTTGTTTTTCTGGAATGTTTCTTTGTTATCTGAGTTCGCTTTGGCTGGTCTTTTTCTCGCCTAAGAGACTGGCATTCAACTGTGTCTAGTTCCCTGGACGAACATTCGTCAGTTTCAGCGTTTGATATGGCTAAAGAAGCCGTGGTTGCATATGTTTTTTCGGATTCTGAATTTCCGAATTCGTCGGCTTCTTCTCTTCACGTAAGTGGTGAGTAAGCTGCCTTATCTTTTCTACCTCCATTTTAGACCTTTTAACTCCCCCTCCATTTTTGAAAACTTATGGATGAGTCCGAAACATGTGGTACAGATTTCATCGTCGTATGTGACATCCCCCAACGTCACTAGACTTTTTGCGCGTTTTACGGGCATTGGTCTGACAGCAGAACGTCCAAAAATACAGTCATTAATATCATGCGTAATACAAGATGTATGATTATTTTTGACGACGTTGGCGCGAGTCAGTGGCCTAGTGGTAACGACGGTTGTCTGTCCGACCGATGGACCGGGTTCAAATCCCGCCTTGGATATGCATTCTACAGCGCGTTTTGAGGGCATTTCTCTGAATAGCATTACCGAGTTTACAAGTTTCAAACGGTTTTCTTAAAGGTATGACACGAATTTTCAACCAGATCGAGGATATGAGGTAAACGACTCCGCCTTTCGTAGGTTTTGGGGATTGCTCCGTGCTGTTGCAGAGAGGCGACTGGGCGAAGATAGGTTATCCCGCACAAGTCCTGGTGTGGTCGGAAGGAGATAGGTTTTCCGAAAGAGACTCCCATTGAAATTCTGTGAGAATTAAGATATTGCTATGAAGAATCGACTTGTTAATTCCGAGAGGCCGTCAGGGTGTCCAGGACTCATGAGCCCTTACTCGAGTAAGGATCCGAAACGTCAGACAAATAAATTTCTTGTCCCGGTGATCGCATCTTTATCTTCTGAACTGCTACCTGGAACTCGCCTGTTCGCTTCTATCAGCAATCTTTTTGGGTGCGAAGCGCTCCGATCGGCTCGACGGTGGGAAACCTTTGCCCTTCGAGAGTCGTCAACATATGCGCAGATTCGATTTCTGCACAGGTGTCTCAACAACAATGTGCTGCCGAAGTGCGTTTCATACAAACCTCCGGTCAACACAGAGCTGGCGAGACGCGCAGTACTTCAGCACGGCCGACGAATGATCCGAGTGCTCCTTCAAGACAGTCACTCACGGATTCGCAAATACCGTCAGAGGACTGACCAAGAGAAAGCAAGGTGCTGCGAGTTCATGGGCGAGGACGGCATAAAACTGCTTCAGCAGAGGCTGGCCGAACGAACCCGCGAACATAAAGCAACTCGCGAAGCAGCCCTAGAGAACAAATTTCGTAAGCTGGCTGCTCCAATGTCATCCAAGAACGACAAACTGGTGCACAACCTGTCGTCAAAGGAGCTGACGGAGGAACAAATGCAGGTTTTACGGCATGAGGCCTCATTCAACACAGCCGATGCCAAACCTGCCAACATGATCGCAGCAGTGGAATCAATCCTCAGCCAGACGGAAGCGACAGACGAAACGAAGAACCTCATTCGACATCAAGTGTCCTCCCTCCTCATGGCTCATAGGCCGCGTGAAGTGCTTTCCAAGGTCGAGCGTGATGCACTTAAGGAACTCAGGGCCGACAACGACCTCGTTATCGTGCCTGCGGACAAGGGGCGTTCAACGGTCGTATTGGACAGGACAGACTACAATCAAAAAGCCAAAAGCTTGTTGGAGGATCGTCAGTCCTATGTCCCATGCGAATCCAACCCCATGAAAACGCTGACACGCGAGATTAACGCGACGCTGTTGGCAATGGAGAACTCAGGTGCAATATCGCCAGTCGACCGACGCATGGCGAGAGCACAAGAAACGGCCCTAGCCCGATTTTACGGTCTCCCAAAAGTGCACAAAGAGGGCGTTCCTCTCCGGCCTATCGTATCACTAAAGGGCACTCCAACCTACGGACTGGCAAAGTGGCTGTTCCAACGTCTCAAGTTTCTGACCTCCGATTCGAACACCACAGTCAACTCGTCAACGCAATTCTTGGAGAAACTTAAAGGAGTAAGTCTCCTGCCAAGCGATATCATGGTTTCCTTTGATGTCACGTCCCTTTTTACTTCTAGCCCGCAGGACCTGGCAGTCGAGACCATCGAACTACTCCTACGAGAAAAATACGACGAAACGTAGAATCGCCTCGGACACGCCCAAATCATCCAGCTCCTCAAGTTCTGTCTCAAGACGTACTTTACGTTCGACGGAACAATCTACGAGCAGGTGAAGGGAACGCCAATGGGTTCGCCGATTTCGGGACTCCTAGCCGAGGCGGTCCTTCAACGGCTGGAGTCGCTGGTTTTCCGACACCACAGACCGAAATTTTGGGCTCGGTATGTGGATGACACCTTCGTCGTCATCGAACAGGATCAGGTGCTGACGTTCAAAGAACAACTCAACGCCGTCTTCCCGGACATCCAATTTACGATGGAGGAGGAGGAAAACAATCAGCTGGCCTTCCTAGATGTCCTCGTCTGCCGCAAAGATTGTGGTGGCCTAAAAACCAAAGTGTTCAGGAAAGCGACAAATACGACGCAAATACTGAACTTCAATAGCAACCACCCGATCAGTCGCAAACGCAGTTGCGTAAGGGCGGTATACCGGCGCGTTGAGACGCACTGCAGTGAAATGGAAGACAAGGTTGCTGAACTACAATATCTTCAACGGGTAATGAGAGCCAATGGTTACCCGCGCAGCTTTGTCAACCAGTGCATACGAAAAGGACACCAGAGACCAAATCCAACCGGACCCAAATTTTGGCGGGCTCTTCCGTACGTGAAGAACGTCTCGGAAGCCGTCAGTCGTCTTCTCACTCCACTTGAAGTTGGGGTTGCACACAGGCCGGAAGCAACCATTAGGCGCCAAGTCATGAGGCCAAAAGACCCGCTGCCACGGCAGGACACGTCTGGAGTCATTTACCGGATCTGGTGTAGTTGCGTACAAAGCAATTATGTCGGAGAAACTGGGAGATTACTCCGTACGCGAATTGCTGAGCACGCAGCAGCAGTGAGGTGGGGAGACGCTAACTCTCGGGTGGCGGCACACTCGACGGGACCCGGCCATATTTTCACATTTCTAGAGGCCGAAATCCTCGCAAGGGGTGACAACCGCGTGAGCCACGAGCTGCTCGAGTCATGGTTCTCAGGCCCGCAATCCATCAACAAGCACAATGACCTCCCGGTACCCTATAGCGTACTGCGATTTTCCCTGGGCAGGAGAATCAGTCACGTGGGGAGGGCGCGGGCGAGCAATCATCACGGTGACAGTGAGCCAGTTTGCCGAGCAATCGTCACACCAGCATCCAGCACGGATGACGAAATCGCGGCAATTAACGACTCGGACTCGGACCGACAAGCCACCACCGCATCAATTACGGCCCCAGCGGTGATTACGAGAACTGTTAATTGCAGTGCGCATGCGGTCCCACGGCAGCCACGTGCTATAAATACTGCACTCCTGGTGCCACAATCACCTTTATCTGCTAATGTCTCTGATGATGGATTCGAGTAAGTATCCGAAACGTCAGGCAAATAAATTTCTTGTTCCGGTGATCGCATCTTCATCTTCTGAACTGCTACCTGGAACTCGCCTGTTCGCTTCTATCAGCAGACTGATTTCTGATTATTAATCGGGACACCACTTTCCAATGACCATCCAGGGACAGGATGAAGGACATTCTTCCTAAAATGATCAGGAGTCTGGTTTTTAATAAGATTGCCAACAACTATATCTTCGGCATACTTGACATAAAGGCGGTCAATGGACAATCCCAGATTATTGACGTAGTAGTAGGAGATGTGAAAATATGAGATGGAACCTTCCACGGATACACGGTTATATGGAAGAAGGGTGGACTTCCGCTTACCAGAATGGACCATTTGAATATGGAAGGCAGAAAGATCATTAAATCGTAAACTATCCCAACAGAAGAAATCCACAGGAGAAGTCTGCCTTTATCTTACCATCTGCGAAGTAGGGTCGAGGTTATGAGCGTAAAATTATCGTCTTATTGGTTTGCTCGCGTTTTGCAAATGGTCATGGGACTAATTATTAAGAGGCCCTTAATGGCAGTTTCATTTGCAGAGTATAACTTCCTTGATTACATTAAAATATTCAGAGATAGTAAAGAACAACTGTCCATAAGCATGAGTCCGACTCGAGCCGGCACGTGGCCTGGACTATTTAGAGTTCAGTTCAGTTCAGTATCGCAAGACGATTACAGCAATACAAATTACTCGGGATTAATCCCACTGTTCATTTTGAAATTCACCCATCCACGCTTCCAGGAGGCGTGATATTGTCGTCGATTTTTAATGATTAATTAATTGGAATTGGGCAAACGAAAAAAGAGTAAGGCCAAAGTAAAGGTGCGAAAAGAAACCCTATGATGAAAGACGCTTATGATGTCACGACGGCCAAAATATCCGACATTTGTCCGCAAATTTTTCTGATCGCATTCGAAGTGAAACTAAAGGTTGTAATACAATGATATATCGCACTTTTAGAACACACATTGTCAAGCGGCATAAAAATTAAACCCACATTGCGCTGTGTAAGTGTGTGAAGCCCCGAGTCGCCTCAACATATTTATTCACTTACAGTATCATTGTGTTCTGCAGTCTTCTTTACATACCAAACTGGTGGATTAAAAGGGACTTCCTTCTTTTTAAATAGCAAGGTTGGAAATCGCAACCTACGCTCTTCTAATTATACAAGCTACATAAAAGCTCATGGCTGGTCAGGACAAATTTGCTCATCAAATAATTAACAGTGAAACGTATAGTTGTGGAAGTGATGCATCTCTCAAAAAAATGTTTGGCCTCAATACCTCACATCCACAAGTATTAGTAACCACAAGTCTGTCCCGGCTGAAGACTTCATAAAAATATGGTGACGCCTAGACAGTTAAACGTGCAGTAGCCTATATCTTCAGTCAGTCATTCAGTCAGTGTGTTTGAGGGAAATAGTCTTACGCCTCTGAACTCCTATTTGTACATAAAAACCGATAAATAAGCAAAATGTGAAGAAATTACAGCATTAAGTGAATGCAGACATTGATTCGCATATGCCAGTGGTCTCATGGCTAAAAAGTCACATAGTCCGCTTATCGCTGCAGCATATTTCTGTCAAGCCGACATTTAAATGTCGCTACAGATTGAGACCTGACAATCGTCTCGGGCAGGTTATTCCACGGTTCCACGACACGGTTGGAGAAGAAATACTTCCTGATATTTAATCTTCCCTGGGGCTCACGTAGCTTGAAGGGATGTCCCCGGAGGTTAGTTGTTGTGGCGAGTTGGAAGAAGTCATCGCAACGAAGGGCGCAGTCCAAGCCCCGCACGATACAGAAAGTTTGTGTCAAGTCTCCGAACAACTGCCTATAACTCAGAGGATAGAGATTAAGGTTAGTTAAGCGGATCTCGTATGACAGTGCACTTTGACCTCTTATTAATATTGTTGCTCGCCTCTGCACCCTTTCTATCAGATTGTAATCCTGATGCGTCCATGGTCTACAGGCCTGAACTGCGTATTGGAGATGCGGTCTTACAAACGTGCCGAAGACTTTGGAGAAGCAGTCTTCATCGAAAACTGCGAATGCCCGCTTGATGGCATATAGCATTGAAGTTGCGGTCTTGGCCGCCTTACAACATTGTGTAGAAGGCCTTAGGCGGTCTGCAACACAGAATCCCAGATCTTTCAGCGTTTCTGCATCTCGGAGTGGTATTCTGTTCAGATGGTATCGTCGCGAACTAAGGATCTGATTTTCATGGAGCCTTCAAATGGTGGATTTATGGACAGGCATATTAACTTTGAGAAAACCACTCGAAACTATGCGATGAATAATAAACAATATATGAAGATGCGCTAGACACGAAAACCTTAGTCCTTAATGGGAAATGTTGCGCTTAGTGCATGGACAGATCCAAAGAAAAAATTGGAAAGTCGTACGAAGATGCGCCGTTGTACAGACTCACCAAATGTCAGGACATGAACTGTAATGTGCCCCTGTAGAAACCAAGAATCCTCTGTGCGTTTCCACTAAGTCCCTAGCTGGTCTCTGTTAAGTGCTTGCTGAATTCGTGAATTCACGCTTTACAAGGTGTATTGGCATAATAAATCTCAGTGGAATTTGAAAACGACTAAAATGGAATCAGACACGGAGGCTTGATTTGTGAACCGTAAATGCCAAGCGGTAGTGAAATTTGAACACTCTTTGATGTCTTAATTATAGCGAGTCTGCTCGATAACTTACCGCTGTTCTTGCTTTTTTTCTTTTGTGTACATCTTAGCGCATTTTATCACGAGTACGTAGAAGTTCAGATGTACAAGGAAGCTTGAAGACGAAATGGGAAACATATACTGACCTATAATACTTTCTTTAATGGGTTTTTTGCATACTTATAAACGCTACCGTTGACATATAGGTGACGAAAAGAATCTTCTACCACGAAAAACCCTTATATAGCAAATAGCCTTTAATAGGTCGTAATTGACTGAATCGTCTTTTTAATCCCCGTGCAGATACTAAATTAACTGACACTTTTCTACATTCCAAATGCTTTCAACTTCTAGCAATCGTGCGCGACTGCACTACTTCGTCCTATTCTTTCTTCCGCTCATTATAAGTCTACGCGCATAAGTTCCCTCCCTGTGCAGACTAACAATGTCTAAATCTTTCATTCGGCCTCTTTCGTTTAGCACCAGAAGTCTGGTCATCATGTCGCAAGTGCAGATTCCCAGTCCCGAATAAAAGATTATTATTTAGCAAAAGCTGTCGGAAATGGTTAGTGGATCGGTTTTTATAAAAGATAGCGTCCGATATCCAGAGCCTTTGTTTTAGTCGACTGTTGGAAGACTTGAAAACAGGCGTTTTTTGGACTTGGAAATTGGGTCACTTGTCGGTCGCGTGAACTAATTCTAAATGAGCATGCCAGATAACTACTTTCCCGTTCCCAAACCAAGATGTGTTATCAATTGGAAAAGACAACTGGAAACAGAGGAAATGTCTAAAAATCCGCAAATTAAATACCGTCTTTTAGTTCTTCACGACACACATAAAGAGGTAGGCATAATTTTTCAGAACAATCAATTCTTAGGAATCAGAACGTCACACATCACTGGCGTCAGCATCAGAAAGATCAGAAGAAAGGTACAAGAAATCTGCCCGAAAAAGAATATGCATTTCTAAGGACCCTCAAGAAAATGAACTAGAAATCGTAAGAAGATATTTCTAAAATTAATTAGTTAGCTTGGTTGCTCAACCGAACAGTTTTCTATCCTTCGCGGTCCAAAAAAGGAATCATGTGGCAGCAAACAACCGGAGCGGCCTTCATCTTGTTTTCTCTCATGTGGCCATAACCACCATAACCTTAAGGTTTCTCCCTTGCTGCTGGGTTTGTATAAACTACTGCCTTGACGGTTCTGTCCGTTTTACCCAGTTTTCCTGTTTGTTACCAACTTTGTATAGTGATTTAAGTAACTCTACGGAATTTTTGGTTTAAGCTTTCTTCTTTACAATTTGGTGTCTTCATATAACAATTTGGTATTTTAAGCATTACCGTTTCGTCGTGTGAACTGCCGTATATTTTGTAAATGTTGGCCGGAGTAATCCCGTGGCAGTAGAGGCCCTCGAGCAGTTTTTGGTTGCAGAAACATCCGAATAGTTAGTTAAATTCTGACTCACCTACTTCTTCGCTGTCACTTTGAGTTGAAGGAAGTCAGATGGGTGTTTCTATGGCGATTGAAACATTATACAGAAAAGTGCACTTTTTATACTCCTCTTTAAGTATATAATAATGGACCCACATTTGAGAAACAAGACAGTTTTTCACAATTTCCGATTAAAAAGCCAAAAGATTTTCACGAACAACTATATACGTCTTTTGGCGTTTTACTGTCTCCAAAATGTCCTTTTGGTGCGAAACAATTAAAGGAGAAAGTAAATCGTACACTATCAAAACGACGATTAGTTAAGTAGTCCAACACTGAGTAGCGACGTTGCCAATAATCTAAGATACGCTTTTTTAGAAAGTTGTGAAGTATTCTTTGGTAATAGACACATTGGCCTTATGTTGCTGTAAACAACACCTTGCTGACCATGTCGCAGACTTCTGTTGGATCGCACATACTTAGCTACTTATTAACCGAGTTTCTGGACGATTTTGCTATTTGTAGAGGGCTGCTGTCCCTGGACCAGGTACATACGACCCCTATTTTGGGGAGGAATCTGAAAGTAACAGGAGAAATGTGCCAAATTTCCATAAAATGTCCAAACGACCTGAGATTTTTGATCTGGTAAGCGCATGAACTTACTGTTTATGTTTTCTAGTCTGTCTAACCGGTTTATCTTATAGGTTTGTCCGTATCAATCTTTTCATTATGTTTCTTAAATTGGAAATGTTTAAGGAGCTCTTGGATTGTTATTTGTTTTTAACGAAACTTTTCGGGGTACAGAATGCATTTTTGTATCACGTAAACCGTTATGATCTTAAGTGCATAATTTTGGACTTTTTTACATCTGCCTTCTGAAATTATTACTATTATTCCGTCACCTAAAATACGTATTGCCTATTTCCTGGTATCCCAGGTTAGTTCGAGAGGGAAATATTTATTGGCATTCATAATACTAATGATGACTAAAAATCCCAGAATGAGTTATTTTTAAGAAGCCAGCTCTTCTTTTAAAGAAGACAAATATGCAGAGGATCTCGCAATTATTAATAATTTTAAATAAGCTAGCTCAGACTCTTAGTACTGGCAGGGACTCGAAACAGTTATGACAATTTAAAGATAATTTTCCTCCAATATTTCTATTTTGAATGTGGTGTTTCAGTACTTCGACTGAGCAAATAATTTCTGTTTAAACCATGGACAAATTTAACAGGGACAAATCTTCTCTCCCCCGGTTTTTGTAGACTTAGGACGTAATCAATACTCAAGCCTATGATACGATATATGTTTATTGGCCCCCATGCGATACTGGGCAATTTATTATGACATTAGAATAGTAGGGGTTCATATTTTGCATAAAATGTAGGAACCCTGATGGACGTTAATGATTTGGCTAATTATGCTTTCTTTCCTGGTTGCTAGTATCCTATCGCTTCGTTAATTTTACAGAGAAAAAGCTACAAAGACCTTAACATATACAGCGAAATTCTGTCCGCAACACAAGTTGTGGCCGTTCTACATTGACGAGAACGTCTCTACCTCCTGAGTCATAGGGACTTATTCATGCACATATTTAAGGCGACTTTCAAAGTATCAGACTGGTGTTCCTCTCAACTACCGCCCTCCCCAAACTCCAACGGCCGCAAGCGCGAATTTCCCATTCACATTTCTACCCTCGAGGAGGCGTAAATGCAAATCAGAATTTACAATATTTTCTCATCCAAACATACTTTCATGATCCTGACAGGAATGACAACTGCATGGGTTTTCAATCCTACCAAGACTAAATTTCACTTGAATACTTGAATTCATATAAATTACGAATTCCTAATTACCATAGTTGGTCATCTCACCTTGTCCGTACGTTCTTCTTATGCCAGTAGGATCATCGCAGGCTGTGATATTCCGTCCTTCTAAGGAATCGGTCCAAGATAATATTGTGTTTGACAGCCCTTCATACCAGAAATCGACAATGAAAATGCAGCTTTGGGGCCAATCATGGTGACGACTGCTACCTTACGACAACCTCGTGATCGTAAACGTATTTCCGCATGCCGCACCCGCTTTATCCATTATAACCGACACCAGATGGAACCAGTATATTTCCTTATATATGGATGGCTATGGTATGGGTGGCTACCTCCGTAGACTCTAAAAGGAATCATATTTTTCAACACATAAGGCACATTTTTTAAACAAAGCCGTTGTTTTCCCTCAGTATTTGAAAGAGCTAAGGGGGTATCCTTAAGCATGCGTCCACTCTATCGTCTTACATATCTTCTCAAGAGGCTGATCCTCTACCAACTGAAATCATATAAATCTCGCCTTTTACCCACTCATATGTGCCTCTCTTCGTTGATGTAACCTCTGTGTTCCCATGCACAATTTATGTTGTCTGAAGAGGGGTTGTTGTAACCAGCTCGAAAGTTCACGAATGCTAATCCGTTTTCCGAGAGGCCCTCGTCTAAATACTGCCTCCGGATGCACACTACTTTCGCTATTCAATGTATGTAAATACATATCATTTTTATCATTCGCTATCCGATGCATCATGAACCAATATTTGTATTCGGCTTGCGTGGGTGAATATTCTACTTCTGCCGTCTTTTATTTAGACCCCAAATCTAGGCCCTGGTTCTTTTGAGACAACGAGCTTTGTTGAGAGCCTATCTGATAAAACCAATGCCCATCGCGGTCGTTTCCTCGCTGCAGAACGCTTTCCTTCAAAGCCGGGAGAACGTATCTACTGGGAGTCTACACGAACTCTTCCTCCCGATGTAAAGGTCAGCCTTTAAACTATTTATTTAAAAAACGTTGCTTTAATACTCACAAAGTCAACAAAACGTTTGCAAGAACATTTTGCCACGTTTTGATGCGTCTAATCTTCCTCGGTTTTTCGCTCTTCCCAGAACCAAGTTTCTCCCAACTCCTACGAGAATAAGCCCCTCCACAAAAGGATTGTTGTGCGCGGCAGAAAGAAGGCTCCTTTTCTTTCTTCAGTGCCTCGGACTCCGTGCGACAACTTGTTGGGTCCTATGGTCAGGAAGTTGATCTCGTTTCTAATCGTTTTTTGCTTCCTCCATCAAAAACAACCTTATACTCGATAAATTAGACGTAAATGAGCCGGAAAAAGTGTACGCAAAAAATTAAGCGTAAAACTCTTTTATAAGACTCTCCTTATTTGTAAAATATGAAAATTTGGAACTAATTCGAGGTCGGTTGTCAAGAAGGCCGAACTAAAACATTGCCAGCTCCTAGCGAACATGTGCTAACGAATTAATGGGACTTAACTGATTCAAATCGGACGTCTGCAAGAACCAATGCAGGTTCTGATCCGAAAGCTTAAGTTGCATGTATTATAAGCAAATATACACTCATTGACTTGACAAGTTAAGTGTGCCTAAATTGACGAGCACCTTTACTCACTCTGAAACTGGTCTTAATTTATTGGCCGAAACTTCTAGATAATAATAAACAGTTGTAAGTGAGATGGAAACAAAGAGACTCATGAATGTACTAGTGTGTTGTTTAGAAATAACATTTTTTGGAAAAGCGGAAATGTCCGAAAACGCCAAAAATATTTTATAACTAGTGAAATTGAGGCTTTTAAGTGTGTTAAGGCTTTCCGTGCAAAAGAATGAACGTGTAGTTTACCCGTAAATTTTCTCCAAAAAGTAGTGTACTACCAAGCATTGAAGTTAGCCAACAGCGTACAGTTTGAATACAGATTCGAAAACTGCGTCACGAGAATCTCCTGTGCTTTTTCCATATTTTTGCATTGCTTGAGATGCGCTCAATTAAAGTAAAGGGCCTTTCGCTCCGATTCGCCGGTACGGACGTCGCATGAATAACGCTTTCATAAGGTCACGTTTGACGGGCCGTTCAGTGAATACGGAAATTCGATGGAGTTGGCTGAGGCGATTATAAGCATACGGTTTTAGTTTGTCAGAAAACTTTTCTTCCGAAAGAGTACTGTATGTTTTTTGTTGACAGGAGAGTCTTTGGGATTTAGGGTGCTTTTTGTAGAATTAAACCTCAGATTTACAAATTGGACCTTTTAAAATCGACAAAACTTGCTTGTTTATATTCTGCCTCACTGGACTTACGCCAAAAAACATTACTTCTTAGGCGTGGTAAGCTTCTTTTATTAAAACTCGTGTTTAGATTACTCTCCCTCGTAGAAAGATATGCGTGGATGTGCAAACTTCGTCTGGGGGCAGCCATTAACATAAGAGATTGCTCGAAAATAAGTTAAAATTGATATCCGCTCAACTTGGCAAATATTTTGCCCAGGAAAATTACTTAAAACTGTATGTATTTTGTGAAAAAAGAACGTTGTCTGGAACGAGTTTGGCGAATATGTAAACTTCGAAACGCTTTGAGTGGCCCGAATTGATCATTTAAATTTCCGTCGCCACAGTTAATGAGTTAGGTTTCGTACTGTATGATTACAAATGTGATATCATGTTCCTTCCTCGACGTTCCCGTTCTTATTATGGCAAAAACTGGCATTTAATGTTACAATTTCCTTGGCCCGTCGACTTTTGCAGATTAAATGGTGGTCCGTTTCTGGGCAAGTTGCCGACTTTGGTCCGTGCTAAAAACCAGTTAACGCGCTCGAGCTTACAAATAAAGAAGGATTCGAAGAACTTGCAGTTAACAACTTAACTGACTGCTCAGTGACGCAAACCCCAGATGAATGTTCACTTTTCAGCATGTTTGTAATATTAATTGTTCTTTTCATACTTACTCGAGTCTGCCGACGACCTGACGAACCAGCGTCGAAAATTCACCTAATAAAGATTCTTCATTTTTTCCAAACGACGCGTTTGGCCGAGAGGAGGGACGAGGGAGATTGATACCGTACTGTTTGCGGTTCGCGTACCATGAATTTTTCTTATTGAATTTCGATGCTCTCAAAAATTAAATTATATTTGATTAACAAAACATGCATAAAAATATTCATTCATTTACTCATTTGGTAGAAAATTACTTCTTGCAATTTTATGCTTGACGAAAGGGTATAATTTGCTTTCAAAAAGTTTCTAATTGTGCGATTTTTAATATTGTGAAGTGCCCGTACATAAAGCATCGTGCCTCTGCATTAAATAATGTAACTTCTGAAGTTTGCAATATGACTCAAATCCACTGCTAAATTTTATGAACCGCATATGATCTCCCCTTAAAACCGTAGAGCAATTCATAGTTTTCTGTACGCGGAAAATATACGGCCTGTAGTTTAGAATCCCTGAATGCAAGTGTAACGACAGGTCGTGTTCAAACTTATTCGGGAATCGGAAATGTTTATGAAGACCAAATGATTCCCTTTCTTCAAGCATAGAACTGGAAGAAGTAATTTTCTACCAAATAAGTAAAACAATGAATATCTTTATGCACGTTTTCTATGAAATATAATTGAATTCTTAAGGGCGTCTAAAATCAATGAGACAAATTCATGCTACTTAAGTAGCCACTTTTTACTGAGGGTGGTTTTTGCATGCGGCTGGAAAGAAGTTCGTTCGAAAGCCAGGATCCCGAAGTAACTGAATTATTATAGAATAATGCTGCACGATGATTAATTTTACAACTCTGCTTAAGTAATCTATTCGAAAAGAAAACGTCTTTCAGAATTTCGGTTAACATTTCATGAGTTAGCACACTTACTGTATATGGGCTATATATATGTGTGTGGAAAAAAACTGAAGTAGTATGCGTCTCGAGGTAATATAATAAAATAACAAAGCTCGTTGAAAGAAGAGTGTTACTTGTAAATTCTTAAACTGGCTACACTAACCCGTCATCTGAGGAAATGAATAGCGAGGGGCGAGATTGCCACACTGATTTTTGACAGTGCAGACGACGACAGTTCGTCCGTCGATTTCGACGATGACCACCGTGTGCCCCACAGACTGCATTGTGGGAGCAGGGACGGTGACTTACGCAGGGGTTTATAGTGCCAGTAGACTTGCGTAGCATATACCTACACTCTCTCCTCCTCCCCCGCCTGGGCCCGGTGTCAAGACAGAGTCAAGAAGACCGGAGACGGGGGAGGCCGCAGGTGGATGGCTCGGACGGATCTTCGCCTTGGCGCTCCACTCCGCACCCCTGGTCCACACACCAAGACCAGGATTTTGACCACAAAACAATGGGGTGGAGGCAGTGGTCCAGCTGTGCGACGAATGCCGACAACAGGGTCGCCAGCGCACCCCGCAAATGTTGGCATTTGTTATTGCGCACAGATAACGCCTGCCAAAGTCCGATGTGGCCCCCGTGTTGGTCCAGCGCATCTAACACGTGGCCCGTTTGGAGGGAACGACAGTGCAGACAGAGACAAGCAGACGGCCTTGCGAGAAGGGTGTGCAGGAGGTGAGGAAAGGTGTTATGGGTCTCAGTTGCAGCTCACCGTGTTTTGAGTGGCAGGGAGGAGGAGATGACGTGTCGGTGAGATCTTACATGTCCGGACATGCATTATCAATCAGTGCACCGTGATCGGAGACCCTCGTAGAGGACATGCAGTTAAGCATGCCGCTTAATGCTTTCCACATTGTAATAGCAAGCTTTGAGGAATTCCCACGCATGTTTGGTGTCCGCAATGGCGACCACTTTGGTACCGTCCCAATTAAAACAACAATCAAAATCAAGAGCGTGCGCAAACACCAGGGATGAGGGTTCATGTCGACGGATTGCCGGCTTGTGTTCGTTAATGTGAGTCCCAAGTCGTCGATCTGTGTGACCAACATAAACGCAACGTCAATTAGTGCACGGATACAGTAAATTACGCTAGTTTGCTGTTCTTTGGTATGGTTCCTTTACCTGGGATAATGCTGCGCGCAGAGAAAACACCGGCTTATGGGCGGTGCAAAGGCCAAACCGATTTAATTTTCGGGCGATCACGTCAGAAATGTTTCCCATGTAAAACAAGAAAGAGTATTTCCTTTTTCCTTCCATTAGCCTGAGGAAATACCAGGTGCACCGATGTTGATCGCAAATAATAAGTCGAAAGATGTAATTGTCTTTTTGGTGTGGGGAAAGGGGTAATGTACTCGGTGTGCATGTCATTTTCGCTTGCCACAGGGTCTTCCTGAGCGATAACATCTTCCGGTAAAAACTCCCTTAGATTTTTCCGTTAATGTATAGAGTATTTAAACTTCCATTGTGTAGTGGATCATACTATTGTCACATGAATGTTATTGTCTTCAGAACTATACTGGGCCAGGAAGGTATGTCCTCCAAGGTCCCAGCTACTCATCGCACGTCCCGGCTGCAACCTTCGCTTTCAACTCAAAGTCGAGGGCACGCATGTCGCTCCCCCAAGCAGTTCTTTTGGAGTAAGCACTGGGTCCTATCCGTCGTTCTTTCTTTTTCAGAGACTCCTTTTTCACACTAACGCGGTTTTTATGAAAAAAATTAAAGAGTGGGGACGTGCTAGGATAGAATCAAGTTGCTTCAGTTGACTCAAAAATCATCAGTTGCTGTGATATTGCCGAGGAAGACTGTTTGAGTTCTTCCTCGTCTTGTGGTCGTTAAAGTCTTTATAGGCACGACATTCAAATTGTCTCCTGACTCACAGGCTTTAAACAATTCTCTGCTTCTTCGGGCCGACACTCTCGGGCAGTCGCTCTACTAAGAAGCAGCAAAAGTGGTTGAAAGAGTGTCCACTTGCCACAAAAGATGGCTCTCTGATACATAACATTAAGTAGATAACAACGCATGCAGTACTATGCCAGTTGCTGGAGTTTGAGCATTTGGGCGACGTTGTGGGTATGACTGACAAACGTACGCCAAAACGACTATTCTACGGCAACATCACTAAAGGCGCTCGAGAGGGAGGCAAACAAAAAGAACGCCATGAGAACACATTGAAAACTTTAAAATTATCTGAACTTGACCAAGAGACCTAGGAAACGCTTGGACAGGACAGCCGACAGTGATGAGTAGACGTCATGGCTGGCGCAGTTATCTTTGAAGTCCACCGCATGTGGGAGACCAAAGCGAAACAACGGGCACGAAGAAGTGGAATGCCGTGAACTAAAGCCACCATGCCCCGTCACTTTGTCTTCACTATGCGTGCCATTCCGACACTAGCAGTCCCCTCGTACATAATTAGGCACACTGCCACCATAAACCTCATCAGCACTGAGGACACTCACTGTTTCGCCCTCTGATTGGACATCTGCGTGGTCAGCGCTCAGGCAACGCCTTCAGTATCGTAGACAAAGTGCTAACTTGTCGCATTTGCTATCGCACATTGCAACCACGCATTGGGCTGGTCAGTAATCTACGAATCCATCGCCATGAATGCAGTTCCTGGGACCCCAGCCCCTTCCTTTCGTGCCCGCACGTTCAGACACCGCTTCGGCCTTGTGTTTATGCACGAAAACAACCGTTACTATACCGACCGCCACGCGGGCTCATCCCTGTTCCACACACACAGACATCGTATGAAGCTTTTCGGTCATGTGAGCACAGACTGCGGCCAGACTACGTCTGGTCTAGCCCGATAGTGGTCAGAGATGATGATGATGATGATGATGATGATGATGGTGGTGGTGGTGGTGGT